GCTTTTTGCATTATGACAATCCATTCCGTGCTGCCAAGTATATGTGAATTATGATTTTTATTAAACGTACCGTTGCTAATTTATTAATTTATTAGCTATTATTAGCAGGCAACTCTAATTAGCTCGGATGATTTAATACAGATGATCGAATGATAAAGTATAAATATGATATCTTCACCGTCGAGGCATTCGTTGCATTCTCGCATTTCTCCTAGGAAAACAAAAGCAGAAATCGAATATTTTCATCTTTGTCTGCCTTATCGATCTCCACATGGCCGACAAATCTAATTTAATGAGCAGATATATGGATTTAATAAACGAAGGTAAAAAAAGTGTCGATACCGATAACCGTGTAAACTTTTGTTTCCAGCTCAGACAAATAGAATGAAGCAGGTATCTCGCGGCGCGTGCGTATTTTTTTTTTTTTTTTTTCTAACATTTCTACGGCTTTATAGAAGTCGACGTCCTTGCGTCGCAGCCGTTCCCTTTCTCACTCGCGTCTTATCGCTCGGCGGGCTCGGATAATCGATGCTCGGATAAACGAGCGCGAGTGCGATGCCTACCGGTGATGGCAAGAGCGAGCATTAAATCAATTATCGTACCATCCGAAATTCCGAAAAAACTTAAGTAATGACAGCGCAATCTCGCGCAGCAATTGATTTTTCCGTAACGTGCGATTAACGTAAGTAGAGGGTACGAGGGTACGACGGGCGGGGGGTGATGCCGCCGAATACCTCGCGCGAGGATTGACGTGTGGTGTAGATTTATCTACAGGGTTCGGGCATCGGCGTGGCTTCGGGTATCTCAGGTATCTCTCTCTGGGATGATTTATGGAATAAATCGGTGCGCGCGCGCGATAAGTGCATACAATTATCGCCGCGATCGAATTGTTTTGTCTCACGAAATCGCCGGGCGGATTCACCGTTCGGCATATCGCTGGGAAGGTCTCGCCGGGTTGATCGACGGATTGACGTGGGAAAATAACTCCCGGACGGGTGAATGAGACGTGGCCGCCGATCGCAAAATCGATCGGGGGCGATCGCGATCGGAATCGATCGCGACCATCGAGAGAAAAGAGAGCGATCGGCGCCGCGAGAAGGCAGCAAACGAGCGTGACTTACCGCTCCATTGTTCTTTGTCATCATCGGACGCGGAAAAATCGTCGGAAATTAGAATAGTTACATTATGGCTACATTCGACTCGGGCTACAACGACTCGTGCATTGTACGCTCATTGTGAATTCAAATGGATACAATCGAGCTAATAGCCCGCGCGTTCTACTACACTATGTTTTTACAGATACGTCTTTTAACACTATGCGAAAGTCGGCCTCTTGAAGCAATAGCGAGCCGATTGATTTGTTACGACTGTAATCTATGATACGTCACGTACACGCAAGAACACAACAATGCAATAACATGGAAAAAAATAATAGGAAATATCGTATGGAGTATCACGAAGGGTCTTTTGAAACCGGTCAGATAATTCGTCAGATAATTCAGATAGATTCTGACGTAAGTTTGAGGTGAATAATTTTCAATAATTAATATTTATAAATATTTATAATTAAGTTAGATTTTGTTAAAATATCAAGTCTCTATTGTTATTTATTTTACTTGTTTACGCTTAATTTGAATTTAGATATGTTTTAATGCTTAGTATTAATCAAATCCGCAACCTCATTTAAATTTTAATTAAGATAATTTTAATATTTACATTATATGAAAAAAATCATACATTATCGGTATGGAATACTTTACGTATCCTTCTTACGCGTATAAAATATAACTTGCCTGCTTCGAAGCAGTACATCGACTTGTTTGGCCGAGTGCATCCTTCGTCTGGAATGTCCAACTTTAGTGGTAATAGGTCCTTCAGACCATATTCTGAAAAGACTGGATTCATTCGCAATAATCCACCATAGCCCGTTCGGAGTTTTCTAAAAGTAAAATGAAGATATAATGGAACTTTCAAAACCACCATATACAAGTGTTTGGAAAGAATAATATTAAAATGAATAGCCCGTTTCTCTCTCAATGTTGTCTTAACATTTTTTTATATCATGAGACTTTTAAATTAAAAGTTTCATGGAATATTTTCAGAATTATTTTGAATATCAGGAAAAGTATTTTTTAAAAAAGCTAGATAAAGAAATATATATATATTATTTTTTTACAAATAATAAAAAATATATGTAGCAATCTATGATGTCACGAGGGAAGATCGCGAGTATTGGGCAACCGCGAGATTCGTAAATCGCATGCACATGGTAGAAAGTGCGAAGAACACGAGGGCACGTGCCTGCACGTGTGCTTGCAGTGGAAAATGCAGAACAACGTAATACTGATTTATTGTCGTCGGTGACGTAACAGAAGTACACGTTTCTGTACCATTTTTGAGGCGGAACGAAATTCGCTTCGCGCCAAATGCACGTGCAGGGAACCATAAAAGGCGAAATCCGTTACCTACTCACCCCTAGAGAATAACCAGTCGATGCATTTCTCTATGTCACTGTATTACTTTATACGTCATGATAAAATGTTAAGATATAAGTTAAGAGATTCATTACACTTTCTCCTTGAAAAATTTTTAAACGTAAAATTGGCTTTAAATTCCTTCAATTAGATATCGATTACGTTGCGTTAAGTCGTTACATAAATGTTTGAGAATAATTATTTTGAAATAGTAAATGTGATAATTGATAATCAAACGAAGAATTTCTCCCTCGAGGGAGGAAGAGGGAAGGGGGATGTAATCGATTTTCAGATTTGATTATCGATTTAAGAATATAGCTTTTTGAGCTGCTGTTATTAGAAGTCTATTAATAGTAACGGCATGTAATTTACGATATTGAGCGATTGTTCCGAATTTATAAATATAAATTTAATTAAGAAAATAAAAAATTGTAAGTGATCCTGTTTGCTGATCGATGTCATCTTATTGTCTCACTGTTTTTAAACTTATCTCAGCTTATTACATTAATCATTTAATTACTAAATAATTTTTTTGGGCCTTCAAAATTATTATGTTCAAATTGATTGTTAGATCAAACATTTTTGCAGTATTAATCTATATATTTAAGTGTTCTTACAAAATAATTTTGATGGGCCAACAAAATTATTTTCAGATCTGTATCTGGTCAAATTTTTAGATTTGCCAGCAAAAGTGTTCTTTCCGTGTATTATTATCTGAGTCGAAAATCGTTGTAGTTTACCTGGCGAAAGCTTCCGTGATGCCGTAAACCGTGTTACCGTCCAGCACGCCGGTAAGAAGATTGAAAGGCACGCGGGAACCGAGGCGGCAACCAGGTCGGACGGCAGGAAAAGCACGAACGAAGTCCATGCATTGCACGTTGAATAACCTGTAGAAATAGTCATCCTCCGGTATGAGGATCTCGTTGCAGTAGGGATTCTTCAGGTGTGGCGGCCGGCCGCAGCATTCTTCCGGATCGTTTCGGTTCAGGGGATCTGCAAACACGATGATGGCAGAAGAGATAGGTATAACGACAGCAAGGAAAGCGATGGTGTCCCGTAGTCCCATGGTCAGCGCGCGCGGCGGACGTGCCGGGGTATATCGGCATTCGCGATTGAATGGAACATTATCGCGAGCCGTTTTTCCCGATTGCTGTCGCAATCTTAGGTCGCGTGTGGACGAGGTGGAGACTCGACGTCGATTAATTGTTCTCTCCGCATGGCCGCGCGCGTGGGATCGCTCATGGGACACACGGTCCAGGAGGTTGTATGGTTCTAAATTATATTCTCCCTTTCGAGAATTCGATCCGATAATTGGCGTAAAGCGTGGCGTTATTTTAAAATATTGGCGTAATTACAAGTCCGCCGATGAGCTCGCCAATTCTGGTTGACACACACACACACACACACACACACACACACACACACACACACACACACACACACACACACACACACACACACACACACACACACACACTTGCACCGAGCGATTCCGAGCCGAAGAGCGCCCGCTCGGAAACGTCACGGACGTACACGTGATCGGTTTATCCGGGTAATGATCGTTCGCTTTCTCTCATAGTTACCCTCCTTTCGGCATATATACGGCAAACGTGGAAGGGCCTATACGTGCCAACGAGCGACCTACGATGCGCGGCACATGTATCAAATATCTCGATACAGTTGCTCCTTGGTGCAACTTGAGCAATCAGTCTGCCGACGCTCGAGAGAGGCTCGCTTTCTAATTTCTATTCTAGTTGCATGATCACAACGGGCTTTGATCATCATGGCATACGAGCCGACAGAAAAATCAGTCGTGGTTTTTTTGCTGTTGCTTTCTCTAAAATTTGTTATATATCACGGTCGACTATTATTAGATTCGTACGTTGTAGCGATCATCATTTCTCTAAGTACCATTTCTCTCTATTTGCTATTAACTTAAACGAGATGTTTCCTATTGGAAAAGGAGAAAATTTTACCGAATGGCGAATTAATAATTAAAATCTTTCATAAACATTTTATCTATTTTCTCAAAGAACGTGTTTGTAAAGATGCTTACCTTTATATAGAGATAAAACAATAGATTTTTTTAAAATTTAGTTTCATGATTAACACATGAATCGTGTAAAATAGCATAAAATCATTAATTTAATTTCTTTTTAAATTTAATTAAAAATTAAAAATTGTAAATTTATTTATTTATTTAATTATATGAACATATTTTAGTCGAAGAAATTATTAAGTTTCGGAAATTTTTATTATTAACCAAGATGAAGAGATCGTTATCTTGCGTTAAAATCACTAGTAGTCACGGAGGAAGAAATTACGGATGAAAATTATGTCGTATTGAAAATTACGTTCTAGAATAATGTACCTAGAGGCGTGGCAGTCAAAGTGTAATCGTGGTCCATGAATTGTCCCCACGCGATCACCATAACTGTGCCGGCGTGATCGTGGTAACCTTCGTCTGGGTGCATGGTGCGCGATACGACCCGAGACAATGGCAGATCATGACCCGTTACGGATATCCTTGGCGCCGTCAAGCCGTCCGCGAACTGAGGGCTCATCAATCTGCAAGATGTAAAGAAGACGTTATTCGCGGCGTCGCGTCGTATTGCGTCGTATCGCGTCGCAGCGAGACAAATAAACTCTCCTGCGAGAGGCAGAGGGGGGATTATCGCGATTACCTCGTGAAGGGTGACAAAGTGGCTCCCCAGGTTGGATTCTGCAAATTCGTGCAGAGGCCATCGTACCGCCGGTACTTGCCCGGTCTGCATTCCACGTTGCTGAGGAAGGCCGGGCAGACCTCGCGGATCAGCGTCTTCGAGGTGTCGATCAACGGTAGACTCCTTTCGACCTCCTCGTAGGTCAGCCCGTACCTAACCGGAATGGAATGATTAGAAAGTAAAATCGAGAAAGAAGAAACGCGAAATCGGATCCCACAGGGGGGAGGGGGGGGGGAAAGTCGGGAGAAAGAGATTGCGTAGGCTCGAACGTTGCCAGGGAGAGAGACTTACGTTTGCGCGAGATTCGTGGTGATGTCGAGAAGCAGCTCGCCGACCGTCGCCAGGTCCTCCGGTCGCCACATCTCCGACTTTGGCCTCGCGACGTCTACGGGTGATTACGTATGTGCGTAAAGCGAAGAGCGGGAGAGAACGCGCGGAACGAAACGAGATAAAACATACAGCGTGACATGAGAGATATACGCATCGCCGTACGTTGCGAACGACGTTACGTATATTAAGCGTGCGACATCCCGGACATCGTATTGATCACTGCCGACTGATAAATTACTCGAACGTCGGGCAATTAATTCTCATAATGAAATTTAATATACTCACTAATGCGCTTCCTCGCCTCGACGTAGGCATGATTTACGGCGTCGTACGTGATGCAGGTTTGGGTTCCTCCCGCGGCGGGACTGCGAGCAGCGAAAGAAACAAGGATGAAAGTTAACGCGTGCACGACCGACGTATGCGGATATATTATTTACAGCTCCCCTACCTCTTTCCGCATCCCTACCTTAGGGTTAATTGCCTAACGCACCGCAGCCTACTTTCGATGAGAAGCCGACTCGAGAGAGCCTTGCGCGCGAATTCGCTCGTGCAAATCCCGTCCGCACACGGAGCATCTGGTATGCGCGATATATTTCGTATCAAGGTAACCCAAAATTTTATCTCAGATGCTCTCCTCTGAATGCGGAGTGAATTTGACTTTCATATCCTGTTTCCGCCGTGAGATATACTGGCATTGGCGTGCCGCCCGTGGCTGCGTCGACGAAGGTTAGCCAATTCAATTCTACGCGTTTCTCTACGTTGACATTGCACTTTTATCCACAGCTTCCGCCTTCTTCTATTTTTATCCTCATTGCGACTGTGTCGATCGCCCATAAATACATTTAAATTAACATTTTCCTATTTTTTAATCTATCTTTTTATCCGCTTCTCGCTCTTTTGGAAAATTAATATAAATTTTATCTTGGAATTTTTATATCATCTCGGGAAATACAAATTGTAAAATTTAATTTGCATTAAATGGTACCATTTTAGTATTTTAACTTTATATTATTTTTATTTCTTCTCTCTCTCTCTCTCTCTCTCTCTCTCTCTCTTTCTTTACGCATACATTATAAACTAGTAATATTTATTATTACTTTAAAATTGACACATTAGTTAAACTTCACATTCATCAAATACGATACTTAACAGAATTTTAATTCATTTAATTTTCAGATCCCGACTCTCGTGAAAATCACTGACTTCGAGTTTAAGAGCTTCTTTAGCTTCTTAAGCAACTAATCATTATATACTTGCGAGCCGCAAAATCGAGAAGATGTGAGGGAAGATACGTAGCTCCTCGCGTCTAATTGGCGGCGCGGTTGTTTCCGTTGTGCCGCAACCGATAGTAATAATAACGAAAGCACTTTGTAATGGTGTCGTGCATCGACGCACTTACCATAACTGGTCCGAGCGGCGGCTACAGTCCCATTCCCCGTGATAAATGTGGGTTGCGCCAGCCGGGGAACTCTTTTTTTTCCGATACGTATAAATTACAATTACTTCGGCTTACGGAATTCGTACTTTAATAATCACGCCGCGTTTAATAATCACGCGTTGTCACGGCCGCGCGGCACGCGAATCCACGAATCACGTACTCAGCCGCGTCCCGGTTCAGCTTTCGTATTATCGTATATTGTTTTTCGCGTGCCGCGAATTCTGTTTCGACTAATATATCGAAGGCATATCATTTCAGTTCGCATCCGTTTTCCATTCTGTCATGTCGTGAGCGATCCCTGTCGCTAGCGTTATCGATAATCAACAATTTTGCAGTCAACAGCACGCGCAATTTCGAATCTCTAAATTGGTATCGTTTCGCGATGCAATTGCGAACTCGACGTCTCGTTATATGTCGTGTCCCCGGGCACCCGTTTGACATTCCACAGGTGTTGCCTCCATCTCAAAGTAGGTGCGTGACATCGCTAATCGGCGACGGCGTTACGACGTCACGCCGGCTACCTAAACGGTCGATGCAGATCACGCGACTTGCCTGACTATATTTACTCCTGATTACTAGATGAAAACTATGTGCCTGGCTCAAACTCGCTTTAGACGACTTATAGAATCCCATAAGAACTGCAATTTTAATTTTATTTGTAATTTTGTATGACGTAAAGTGCGAAAAACATTCAAAAAATAAAAAAGTACATATAAAATATATGTCATAAAAATTATAAATAAAATTCTATAACTTAAACCTAGCGCAAATTGTAGATTATCTAAAATGGACGTCATGTGATTGTTACACGTTATATACTGAGATTTTTATCGAATTTTTATGGCAGTATTAACTGGATTATGTTTATTTTTATTAGAATCGCAAATACAGCAAATTATTAAAAAATTTTAATTATTTTTAAATTACAATTAATTCAAATCAAAATTGTAAATTAATTATATTTTGCTTTTTTTATAAGAGAAAAAAACCAGAGGGAAATAATTGAAGCATTAGTTATTAATCTCAGTTTTTCTATTAACAATAAGAAAAAAAACAGTTTTAAGACAAGCTTAAAAATGTATAATTTGTTAATTTTTAAATAATTCGCATTTGCGTACAGCACACAAAGGTTTATACGCTTTATTACTATAATTTATTATAAACAATTAGCTATTTGCCACAAAAAAAGGACAATTTTTATTAATTTACCAAAGAATTTAGAAATTCTTTTCTCTTCAAAAACGTTCTTTTACAAAAAAATATCGTCCAATGGTATTAGTATGACAAACAATAAAGTTTTTAAGGACGCAATTATGATGAAGATTAAATTATTAGTAACGCGACACGTCGCTGCATTGTCGGCAAAGCAATCGCAGTTACCGATGATTCGTGCGGAATTAAGAACGACGATAATATACTCGGCGTGTAATTCCAATTAGTTCTCCTCCTAGCGAATCAGTTTCGACTACCACGATCTTCGGCGATGCATTTAAAGCGATTTTATCGTATCGCGACTGCCTTGTGTTTCATTAGCGGCGCGCCTCGCGAAAGGCTCAATTAGCGGCGGCAGGATTTCGCGCGCATACGAATCTAATTGCATTTTGTACCGTCGTTCGCGAGCCGGCGTGTTTTTTAAAGAGGTCGAGTTTCTGTGACTGTTGCAAAAATCGCAATCAATTATGATTAATTGCGCGATCAGCGGTGCGCGCGTTCGCGGTACGCTGTAACGAGAATATGCGCGAGTTAACTCTCGGTTTCGCCGCCGTCTCGGGCATGCCATCTCCGTTCGAAAAAAAAAAAAATTTTCCTCCTTCCCGAATTTCTACTCTGTAAATAATTCGCAGGTGTGCGCGCGTAAACACGCGTGAGCGATTTTCTTCGACGTCCCGGCCGCCCGGCTGGGCTCGATTTTTAAGCACACTTTACCGGGGCACTCGTACGATAAACGCCGTCGTCTCGTCGGTCGTTCGACGCGAGGAAACGGCAGTTAATCACGGGTTTCAGCGCGATTACGCGTTCGAATGCGAGGATTATTACCGTACGGTTTTCTTACACGAGGCGATGAATGGAACAACACGCGGTTTGCCGCGACACGTAACGGTCACTCCCGCGTTTCGTTGCATGACGCGTTTACGGCTCAATACCATAAATGCCGATCTGGCAATGGCCGCTTTTAAAAGCTGGGACGGGACAGGACTGAATTTTACGATCGACGTTGTGCAAAAGCGGCGCGATCTGTATAGAGTCATCAAGCGTGAGCGGCGACGACCCGCGTCGAACGCAGCCGCGGTAGAATGTACGTGTGCGATCGCATAACATAAGACCCGTAAGGTCGGAGTCCTGCGCATTTAGTCCTGGGTCGGGAATGCAGGATGATAGTGAAAGTCCTAAGGCGGCCAAAGTTCCCGCTTTCTCTAATCCTCGAGAATGCCGGGTGAGGATTTACCTCGTTACGTAAGCGCGCTGCACTTCCTTTGCGGTTGGCGAACGCGATTCATAATGGAAAATCGATAATCATAATCGATAATCGTGTATTTCCTAGTCAATTTCCTACAATGTGTCCTCGAGTGAGCCATCCTCGAGCCACCATAAAATGTAATTCTCATATATAAAATGTAACTCTCATCTGGCCCCTGTGGCGACTTTCGTAATCGGCCGAAGAGGTAACATTTCGCTTAAGCGGCTGATCGATGACTATCAATAACCGCGGATTATCTTGGATAATAATTAAAAAGATTCAGAAGTGGTGGACATTTGTATGTACAGTGCTGATCTTCAATCGCGTTTCGTGTTAACAAGAAATATTGGGCGAATATTTAGAAAGCGCTACGCTTCATAGACTTTTAAAGGATTACTGTCAGTCTTGTATGACGGCGATTGAAATTGATTATTAACTTTCAAGTGACCGGACAAAAGTAACGTTTTTCATACAATAACATCGAAATAACATGTCGTAAGTGATGAATTATATGAAAGTGATTTTATATACGCGAACACGATTTTTATATCCGCGATGTCTGTGCAATATGTTTAAAGTTAAAGGGAAATGTCAAAGAAATTTAGCACAATAGATATTTGTAATAATTAGGAATTTACGCCTGTCTTTCATTCTCGAGGCATATCGCTAGATAGTAATTTTTCAATTTAATTGCGTAAAATATGACAATAATTGCGGATCTATTACGGGCACGATTAATCGGTTTGTGATTTCAAAACAATTTTTTACATTTATGCCCCGCTCTAACAAAAAAAAAAAAATCAATTCCAAGTTACATTCCCAACTCTCTAAGTTGATTGAAACGAAATTAATTAAGAAATCTCTTTGAATTAAGTCTTTGTGAGAAAAGCGAAATCGGTATGTTTTTTTTTTTATCAGTATGTGTCTCTGTGAATGGCGCAAAACTCAACTTTAACCCTGTTTTGGGATGTGAAAATTCACACAGGCGGATGATTTTACTCCGCGAAAGTTTATCATCGGTCACTTCGGAGGAACAACTTCAGTTCCTGCCTTCTGTGTTTGGCTTTCGCTAAATTAAGATCGCTATCGTCACGCGGACTCATATTTCGGTCTTAATGCGAGCACTTACAACGATCCGCGAAGTAAATTATAGGTGTAGTCGTAAAGGCTGGTTCTTCCACGGGTGTCCAGGATCAAGGCACACTCCTCTCCGTTTGCATAAGCGTCGACAGGCTGATACTGCAGCCCGTTACTGTGTGCCGTTGCCAGCAGCAGCAGCAGCAGCCCGATTATCGCGGATCGCGTCCGCGTTATCGCGAATCTGCAACATTCCGACACATGCGATTATCCTTCCCGTGGCAAAGGGTATATACTCAGAGCAAGAGGCTGCCGGTCTTAACGGTGCCTTAAATCACCGCTGGTTTGCGCGAATTTTTACAGTTCTGGTTAATCGGAGATCTACCCCTCCCCCCCCCTCCCCCGAACGGAAAGGCGAGATTACAGCGGGATTACAGCGAAGCAGCAAATCAAATATTTAATTGATATTTAATCCTTTTTTTTTTTATTCACGATATTCTGTCGTGAAAGTTATTATAAATGACAAAGATTACGAGCGATTAAAATTATATTTTTGAACTTTACTGCTTCGGATGTCTTGATATTAGTAATATCAATCGCAAGAGCGAGTAATTAGGGGCATTCGTCTTGATATCCATTGGAATGTGCACGTGCATTATTGAATGCCAGATTAAGGATAAACTATTTGGGTTCGATCGCACTCGGGTTGGCTTGTAAACCTGAATGATAATTTTGATAAAATATGATTATCAAATATTTAATACAATTGAATTATAACTATATATAACTATATAATATATAATGACCTATTGAAAAAATGTTTTTTCAATTTTATATTTTATGAAAATAAATATATTAATCTTAAAATTCTTAAAATAAGATTACGTTTTTGTTTTACATGTTCATATTTTAATTTGAATTTAAATATCATCATATGTGACAGAATAAGTATGGAAAATAATAAAATAAGGGTTTTTTTTAATGAATTGTTTGGAAATAGAAGTAGACGCAAAGGGAAGATTTTTACAATCTGAAAAATCCAATAAAAAATTATAAATAATAACGACGCAAATTATTCTTTTTCTCGATAGAATTATTTTATTATATCGAGGCCGTGTGAAATATTATATGTGATAGTTAGAACAAATTCTTCTTTTCTTCAAGAAATAATGAATAGCTTGATAATATCTGCTGCACCGTGCGTTCTCACTTTAACATGCCGCATTTGGTGTATTTGTGAAGCGGAGCGGAGAAACCGAGATACAAAAGTCGAAGTTCTTCCGTAATCGCCATCCCATTCTTTTAGCACAAGAGATGTCGCGAACGCGAATGCCTCCGGCCCGTCCATGGAAAGTTGCTCTTTCATTTTGTATTCTCACGCTTTGCTATACACGTTTGCATATGTAAACGTGCAATTGACACGCATACAAAAATGTGAGGCAGCAGATGCACATAAATGCATTTTGTGTATGTACATATCGTATTTTTATTGCGGGTCACGTTTTATCGATTTTTAATTTTTAAAAGGAAAAGATCTTTTTCCTCTGTAATTTTATCATTTAATGAATTTCTACAATATTCTATAACATCCAAATTTAAACTTTAAATATACTCGCGCTTATTTACACGCTTTTTTGTTTACATTTAATACTGCACAATAAAAGATAATATATTTGGAAAAATTAGAAATCTGATAAACACATTTTAGTAAAAATATTTTTTTGACAATATGTTACGTTTGTCATTGTTATTAATATAATCATATTTTTGAGCTTTATATTTCGAAAGTCTTGACTGTATATATAACAACAATATACATAATATCTATGACGTATTCTTGAGAATTATACTTTAGAATTTTTTTAATAAAAAAAATTATATTATAAAAGGACAAAATATGTAGAATAAGACGATACACAATCGTAGCTGCGACTTAAAAATTAAGCATATCACCTTGAACTCTTTAAGTAAGACATACTCTAAGATTAATTATTGCCGTACTTCCATTCTTCATTCACCAACGCTTGTCATGAAATTACATTAATTCGCGGACCAAATTGGCACGTTGGAAATGGCTGACAGTTATTTCGCGCTAGTCTTATAGTTTGCCGACGATGAAAGTGCCTCTCGTCCCATATAATGATTAGATAAGACTTGATCGACACTCGGTGCTATCTGCATTCTCTTATGTTTTTCTCTCTATCTGTTTTCTCTTATGTTTTTTCTCATCTCGCATGCGGCTCACAAAGCGCAATGCAACCCGATAAACCGGTCCTCGCGTATTCGGTAATCTTACAATTAGACCGACGTAACGGTTTAATCGGTCGTCTTTAATGGAAATTACTTGCATTCTCAGTGACAACCTGCGGTTGATAAAATTTGTCGATATGTGTTTCTGCCTTTAACATAAATTACAGTTTACAGTAAAGACTTTTTATATACTTAATATAATGAGTTTATAAGTGTAAAGATACGTTTCTCTACTCGTCTACTATTGTAGCATATCGCAGTGCTTTAACACCAATTAATTATATCAAGATAATCTAAATTTCTACTCTAATTGAATACAGAATTAACATTTCAAATTATAATTTATTCATGAGATACATATATTTGTCATTCCGAGTTATTTTCTGAAACAAAGGAAGAGAAAAATGCATGCTTCACGTAGTTACGTTTTCATTTTCTAAATTAAACTATGTATTTATAAAGAGAATTAACAATTTATCCATTTCATGATTGTTAAATGAACATTTTATAAAATCACAAAAGATTGGAGAAATTGCTTTTCGTGATCGCTGACTGGATCATGGCTGATTAACCAAGTAGCTTGTCAATTTATTGTTGATTTCTTGCGGAAATGTCAATTTTACCCGGATAAATTACGTGAATTCGGATTGATATTCCGCGTACGTAATCGCGTGAAATTCAATTGGAGAGCGTGCGAAACAGTGGTCAGGAAGCATACGAAAAGTGAAAATTTGTTAAAAAAAAAATCAGCCGCAAAGTACCGCAAGAGAATTGTTCCCTGTTGTTGCATAACTCTCTTTTTACGCTGACGATAAAGTAGCAAATATCAAAAGATATTTTATATACGTATAAATATAAACACAGACATTTCATAAAACTGTAACAGATGTAACATGTACACGTCACGTATTTTCTGGATTGCACGTTATAATTACATTGTAAATACTTTACATTCAGTAAGCAGTCATTTTGATTGCTCTCTTTTCCGCTTCGAAATGGATCGTAATTAAACTTAACTTGTATATGCCTTATATGAACATAAGAAAATTATAAACGTCTTAATCGTTGGATATAATATACCTTTAAATTTTACGTCGTTATTATTTCTTTTCATTTTATATCTGCTAATAATAAAATTATAATTATAACAGTATATTTCAGTAAAGATTATGACAGAATTTAAATTATTGCCTAAATGCTTGATTGCACATTTATAAATTATAAGATATGCATTTTATATGTGTCCAGAAGAAATAAATATTAACGAACACAATGCTTCTAATGATGATAAGCGATATCACGTTGCTCAATCAAAGAACACATTGAGAACGCAATTGCGCAATTGGCTAGATTAACAAAGTAGAATTATTCTAAACAGTGTTTAGCCGTTATCGGAAGGTTGTAATGAAAGCTTTCGTTGTACGCTCGTCGATTACCACTTCGCCGTTTCATCTTTTAATATCTTCGTATTCGCGGCATCACGATAATAAATACAACGATTGCCATTAAGTGGGCGGACAGTGATCGACCACGTTTCTCGAGAGTGTTTGTCGAATCCCCGCGCACGGCTATGAATATACGTATACATCTTATTTGACAATTAAAAACCCGAGTGATTTACTAGCACGGTGAAAGGATTCGAAAGCGGGTAAAAGTAACGCGAGATGCTTCCAGAAGGACGCGTACGGATTTCGAGACGACGTCCGATCGTCATCTTCGTGCCGCGCCGAAACCTTCATTCGATCGCGTCATCCCGCGTGATAACGAGTTCTTCCTTAAAGAATAAAGCCGCGTGAGAGATCGTGAGATCGAGATCCGAGTCGATCGGAATAAAGCACCCGATCGCTTCCTTTCCCGATGCGTCGCGCGGGATTCACCTTTCACCGTTCATTAACATTCGCGTAACATTCGCGCCCGGCCCGCGGTGATAATAAGACACGAAAAGTCACGTGCACTTCCTGCGAGACATCTCCTCCCCCCTCCCCCCATTTGTGCGCCCCGACCTCAGTTCTCATAATTACTCGCGGCAGTTTTTTCCTTCCTAGCTAGCCATCTTTCTCAAGAGACAGACCGCGGTACTCTTCTTTCTCACGTTCAGGAAGCCCCTCCGAGAGATTAGAAAATCTGATAAGGTGATTTATCATGGTGATTTATTAATTAATGCAAATGCTTTCACTTCGGTAGCGACAAGACAATTGTAAAGTGATTTAAAGATACATAATATTAACACGATACACGCACGCATATCTATATATGATATTAATTGTTTTAATAATATATTTTTCGATGTATCATGTCTCAATGCTGATTAGTGGTAGTAAGAATTTATATGAGAAAAAAAAAATAAGAGAAAAATTAGTCAGGCTCAATTTTGACAGTGTAACTTTCTTTGATACGTGTCCTTGATCCACTTGATCCACTTGTTTCAAAAGGCGAAAAGTAGAGTATATTTATATATAAGACATTTTATAATTTTTACTTATACAGGAAGCTAATATGTTATTGCACTACGTCTTATGTAAAGTAATATCTATCCATCCCATATCATTTATACTGTAATGATATAGATTCGTGGCGCGGTAAAATATTAAAAAGTAAACTGGTTTTCTCTCTTTATTAGCAATAGCGAGATCCAGTATCTACTTTTAATATAAGTTAATCTTTACCAACCAAGTTTTGCGTGTAAATCGATAGATTTTTTTTTAGTATCTTAATTAATTTTATTAATATATATATATATATTGCTATTATTAAAAAATCAATTAAAATTATTAAAAAATAAAGATCAATAATCATTATCATTTATAATTTTTTAAATAAAAGTCTCAGAATTTCTTCGGCAACACTCTGCGTTGGCAGCAGCCCCCGTGGTACTTTGGCGCGATACAGATTGAACGCGCAAAATTTCTCCGCAAAGTACTCCAATAAGTACTCCAGTACTTTTTTTACTACTTCAGATTTCCAAATTTTTTTAACTCACGATTTACAACACGTCACGCTCACCCGTTATCCATTCTTCCGCCACGCGCTCCACGTTGCTGATGATGGCTCGAAACGATGCGAGAGAAGCGGCGGCGAAATTATCGTCGAGGGTTGTCGACGATCCTCGGTGCTGCACTTCTTTCAACACACGTGATTCAATACACGACGGACGGAGCGAGAAATCGAACGGGGAACAGTCGGAATGTAATACCGACAATATTTGGACGTCGACGAGTGTCTTTGCACGCGTCGAGAGACCGCGTTAGGGGGAAGGGGGGGGGGGGAGTAACCACCACCGCGCGTATTTGTTCCTCGGCGATCTAGCGCTTCGTATTTCGTGCGTAGGACGACCAACCAACTCTTCTTGCCGGATGTAATCCAGCTTGCAGCGGTCGATCACCACCCGGTCCTCCTGCTCTCCCAGGTGGTTGCTTTTGGAACGACTCGCACTGCTCGACTACCTTAATGTGGCTACTCGCGATCGTGTCTTGCCTTTCCGCCGCATAGTACTTTATGAAAGCGCACCGCTCCTGGTGGTGGAAAGCTCCCTAAAAGCGCGGTCCTGACTCGTGGAAAGGAAACGAGAAGGGAGAGGGAGCCGGGAGGGAGAGTTGAGTGAGGAGACGAGAGAGGTGGAGGAAAGTTATTTTACCTTACGTTATGTATTTCGCCAGGTGAGCGAGAAAGAATCACCGAGGAGTTAGCGGCGGACGTGATGAAGAAGGAGGAGGCGGAGGAGGAGGAGGAGGAGGAGGAGGAGAAGGAGAAGGAGGTGTAGCTCCCGTCCACGTCTTACTTTCCTTTCTCTAAACGAACCGCACGGCTGCTGCCCTCGATTCGAGACATCGATTGTGTCCCGCCGGTCTCCGAAATACGCGTCGCCGAAAGTGCCATTCGCTGAATCAAGACAACAATGGGGATACTTTCTTTCCTCGCTTACCTTTCGATTTTACACTTTCGAGAGGAACATCGTAGCGGGATCACTCCGATGTCTGTGCGATGTCGATCGAAGATTTTGCCAAGAAATTCGATAATTACGGGTTATCGTAATGAGCTTGTGAAAGACAAACATCGTACATGTATTCATTACTCGAAACTACACAATACACAAGATTATTCGTTTTTTCTTTTTTTTTT